CTACTGACTAGCAGTCAAATGAAAGGTATATTGAACTTAGGATGACATTTGATGAAGGCAAGAATTCATGGTTCATGATTCTGTCTTATTTGACTTTTTTTATACAGTTGCTTGCTTTCTTGCAAGGACTCTTCACATTTTATCATCATGGCTATGAGCTGGCAAAAGACTTTGGACATTTTAAAACTCCACTTCAGATCAGCATTCAGAATGTAAGTAAAGAAGTGAATTTCCCCCATCCACACATATTAGGAAAAATTCCTGGTACAATTTTTATCCGTAATATCTGTAATTGGTTTAATGTTTCACTAATTCTTTGCACATTCATGCACTGAATTCAAGTTGAAAAGTAACCATCAAAACAAATGAAAGTAAAAGGAGGACATGTCATTTTAAATCTTCACATGCTTTTGTTTGGGTTACTGCTAACAAAGAAAAGGAACTAGCTCTCTTAATTTATTTTTAGGTTTATGACTGGGCTTCTTATTAATGTTAGGAGATATTAGAATTATATACAAAAATAAGTTGCTCAATGGCTTTGATGTCTAGTGGTCAGGACATGGGACATCACTCCAAGTCCTTGAAGCCATGCAGCAGAATGATCCTACATGGCTTAATTAGTTTCCTCTCTTACATTATATAAAATCTAGGTAGATTTTATTAAAGTGTTCTTGTGTTTTACAATCTCCTGTCATCATTGACATGTTCAAAGTTGACTTCTTAAATTCCATATGATGCAAGTTCACTTAGATTATACAACCAATTAGTAAATCTAGCTAAGAAAGGAAATAATACTATCCAAATATAATCAATTTTTCCTACATTCTAGAAATTTGCTGTCCCTTTGGTCTATTTGATGTTTCATGGTCAAAAGAACTGGAAGTTCTAATTAACCATTTTAATTTAGTATACGTTAAATTAAATGACCAATTTCTTTCTGGCATGTTAAGCCTAATATAGACTATTGTCACATATACTAATAAGATTAATAGAATCTAAAATTCTACTCCAGATCACATTGCTAAGGTCAGGTCAGGTTGCAATGAGGGAAAGCTCATGCACAGCAATAAATGATGATTGTAACTGTTTTGTGTTGTCTTTCTACGAGTCATTTTGGAAAAGGCACATGAATGAGGAGTGCACATTTCGCTCCAGTCAATGTCTGAAGTCTGGACTTCATATTGGTTTAACTCTTGGATCTACCTAAGATGGCTTTCCAATCCTGTAAGCTACCCATAGTGCTTAACAATGTTGTTGGCAGACAGGTCAATTGCACTGTTCTTAACAGGATGACCACCAGACTGCAGAAGCTGATGATCTAATGATTACTTGAAAATACAGTGATCTGGTGTACAGCAATCTAATCAGTTGGGAGTACTGCAACACTACAATTTTGCATCCATCATACATAAACCTAGATTATAGTTAACTGCAGTCTTTCTATTGTCTCAAAACAAAACTGTTCGACTTAATTTCCCTTTTATTGTGATATGCCCAATAGATATAAGTAGCCATCATAACTTGTGCAAGTTCCCTCAACCAAGCTTATGTAAAAGATATAGAGCAAAATGCTGCGGATGCTGGAAAATCTGAAATAAATGCAGGGCATGTTCCAAAATACCGAGGCAACATACGTGGAGAGAGAAGCAGAATTAAAGTTTTGGGTTGATGATCATTCATCATAAATACCCTTTGAAATAATGGTTACAGTGTATCCCTACTCCATTTCCAGAATGCAGTTTTCCATTTAGAAATTCCTGACCTTTGCTTCATTTCTGTGAAATTCAGCTACAGCTTTCTTCAGTATTCATGTTAGCTAGTGCTGGAATTTAAATCAGTGATGGGGAATAAGTTATGAATGTCGAAAATACAAAAGTATAACCATTGATCTTGGTTATTTGAAACCACGTGCAAAATAGGAATGCTACTGCAACTGATGTCCAGACTAGTTAGTACTCTAGCATTAGTCCATTCTAATGAATCTCGTATCTGAAATGAGTAAAATTTGAATTTGAATTCCCTCTTCAAAATTTATTTAGATTTGTGATTTGTACTTTTGTATAACCATCAGATTTCATGCTTTCTTATTGTAATAAATTTGTGTCTATGCTTAAAAAATCAATATTGTTTCATCTCGTCTTCTATTTCGAACAGTCATTGAGCAAAACTCCTACATTTACTGAGGAGTTTCACCCAGGTCCTTATTATGTTCCAGTGAGTCACAATCTAGCTATAAAAAGCAATTGAACTTTAGGCTCTTGGGAACAGTGTAACACTGTTGGTTAGTTTTAGGCTTTTACGTGGGTACAAGTTGGATTCCATGGGCCAAAGCTACATGTTCCGGAATCTGGCTCCCTCTAGCAGAAGTTCACTATATTGATCAAGGAATATACCTGATCCCAATAGTAATGTCTAAGGGATGATGATTGCAAAACACCACAGTTCCACAGCAGGTGTCCCTCAAGCATTGCGTCTCTGGTACTATTGGTGCTGGACACTCCTTTGCCTGCCCTTTCTATTTAGCCAAAGCCAGTACGTTTGCTAAGTTTAGCTGGCCAGACGTTTTGCGTTGAAAGTAGGATCTGTGAACAAATAATAAGAATTGCACTCACAGGGGCAATTTCAGTGGCTTGGTATGTAAATGAGTATTCATTGCTTGCCGATAAATGCCTGGGAAGGTAACCTGCCTGAAAAGTTCTGAGAACTTAATCCCAAAACTTCAACCGGATTTCAAGAATCTAAAGTTTGGCCTCCCACCCAATTAAGTTGCTTTCCCAACTTTGTAAGTGCTGTGGACAGGGAAGATCTGCCCTATGTGTATCTTTTCACTAATTTTCCGTCCAAAATGTATTGTTTCACAGTGTCTAAACTGAACTGCAACTGTCACTTTTAATTTTCCTGTTTAGTGTGCCTATATCCTTCAGTAGTTTTTTGTGTGTCAGCTGTGGGTCGGTTGATAGCTCTGATCCCTCTGAGTTGGATAGTTACGGTTTCATGTCCCACTCCAAGACCTAAAACTCAACAGTAACAGTTGACACTCCACTGTCAGATGCACAGTCTTTTGGATGAGATGTTAAACTGATAAACTTAAGGATCTAGCCTCAACAGTCTTCTGTGGTAAAGAATTCCACAGATTCACCACCCACTGAGAGAAAAAAATCGTCCTTATCTCTGTCTTAAATGGTTGGCTCCTTAATTTATGATTATGCCCTCCAATTCTATACTGCCCTATGAAGGGAAACAACCTCTCCGCATGTACCCTGCCAAGACCCCTAAGAATTTTGCATGTTTCAATAAGGTCTCCACTCGTTCTCCACAACTCAAAGAGTACAATCCCAACCGATTCAACCTCTCTGCCTAAGAAAATTTCCTCCATATCCCAGATTAACCCAGTGAACTTTCTCTGGACTGTCTCCGATGTCAGTATATCTTTCCTTAGATAAGAGGACCAAATCTGTTCACAGTATTCCAAGTGTGGACCATTACTGACCAGATCTCCTAGTTTTACACTCAATTCCCTTTGAAATAAAGGCCTACATTCCATTTGACTTCCTAGTATCTGCTGAACATACACGCAAGCTTTATTTGATTCATGCACAAGGATATCTGAATCTGTCTCTGCAGCTTTCTGTAATCTGTCTCTATTTAAATAATATTCAGCTTTCCTTAACCCTAACGTTACATTTCCCATATAATATTCCACCTGCCAAGTTTTTTTTGTTTATACAGTTAGCCTATCTATATCCCTGTCTGGACTCTTCATGACATCTTCACTATTTGCCGCCTTACCTATTCTTTTCTGTCATTTGCGAGCAAGGTGATAGTAATTTCACTTCCGTCATGCAAGTCATTAATATATATTGTAGATAATTGTGGCCCAGCACTGATCCCTGTGGCATTCTACTAGTTACAAGTCCCATGCTGAAATTCCCCCCTTATCCAAATCTCTGACTCCTACGAGTTAGCCAGTCCTCTCTACATGCTGCTATGGGCACTTGTCTTATTAAGTAGCCTAATTTGTGGTACTTTGTTAAATGCCTTTGGGAAATTCAAATATATTACATCTACTGCTTCCCCTTTATCTACGCTGCTTGATACCACCTCAAAGAACTGGAAAACATTTGTCAGGTATGATTTCTCCTTTTATGAAGCCATGCCGAATCTGCTTGATTACATTAGGTTTTTCTAAATATTCTGTTACTGCAGCCTCTATAATAGACTCTAATGTTTTCCCAATGACAGATGTTAAGCTAACTGACCTATAGTTACCTGTTTTTATTTTTGTCTCCCTTTTTGAACAAGGGTATTATGTTGGCAGTTTTCCAATACTCTGGAACATTTTTGCAGAATCTAAAGATTCTTGGAAGATTATTACCAGCCCATTCACTATCTCTCTAGCTACTTCCTTGAAAATCCTAGGATGGAACCCATCAGGTCCAGGGGATTGAATGGTTTTTAGTTAGTTATCCTATATGTTTTCTCTCATGAAATTTATTGTATTTATTTCCTTTCTACTTTTAGCCCCTTGATTGTTTTGTATTTTTGCAATGCTGTTAGTACCCACTACCATGAGACTGATGCAAAGTATTTATTCAACTCCTCTGCCATTTCATGTCTCTCCATAATTATTTTCCCATCAGCATTCACTAAGTGGCCTATGTTCGCCATTGCCACTCTTTTTTAACATATTTAAAGAAGCTGTTACTGTTTTTATGTTACTTGCTAGTTTGCCCTCGTTGTTTATTTTCTTTTTTCTTGTCATCTTATGTTGGCTTTTATAACTTTCTCAAAACTCTGATTTACCACTAATCTTTGTATGTTGTAGGATTTTTCTTTCAATTTGATACAGTCCTTAACCTTCAATGGTTATTCATGGTTGGTTTATACCCTTCCAAGAACCCTACCTCCTCATTTCGATATAGCTTTGCTGTGAGTCAGGAACCTCGTTTTAAATGTCTACCGTTGTTCCTCAACCATATTTTCTCTTAAACTCATTTCCCAGTACACCCCAGTCAACTCTTCCCTCATTCCCATGTCATTGCCCTTATTTAAGTTTAGCACAATTATTTCCAAGCCAAGTTTCTCTCTGTCAGACTGAGTGCTAAACTTTACCATTTTATGGTCACTGTTCCCTACAAGATATTTTATTTCTGGGATAATTTATTAAATCTACCCCATTATACATTATCAGGTCCAGAATAGTCCAATCCTTGGTTGGACCCACAATATATTGTTCTAGGAACTATCCCAAAAACACACTTATGAATTCTTCCTCATAGTATCCTGGCAAATTTGACTTTTCCTCATCTGTATGAAGGTTAAGCTCACTCATGATTAATGTACTGCCTTTGTCACATGTCCTCATTATCTTCTGATTTATTCTCTGTCCTACTGATAGGAGCCCTAAAGACTTGTCTCACTAGTGTCTTTCACTTGTTATTTCTTACCTTCAATCATATATATTCAGCATAATCTGATCCAAGATGACAAGGCCACCCAGAACCAACTCTTCCTTTTATTTTTGTAAAAGTCACATACCTCTGAATATTCAGTTCCCAGCTTTGTTCTCCTGTAACATCTGTAATGACTGTAAGGTTGTACTTATTAACCTGTATTTGTGCCTCTAATTAGTTTGTTTTTTTTCCCAAAGGCTGAGCATATTCAAATAAAGAGCAATTAATCTTGCCGTATTATATTTTGTTCCCTTTGCCTTCTTTTTGTATGCTTGCATACCCTGTCCTTCTTGTCTCACTTTGGGTATGATTGTCAAAATAGGTGCTCTGTAATACCACCATATCCTTTCTATTTGCAAGCTTACTTTTTCCCCTGAACATTTTGTCCCAGAACTGGTGCCAGTTCTTCATGAACTGAAACGTATTTCTCCTTCTATCGCTTCAACTTAGGTAATTTAACACAGTTTGTGGATATATGCAGTGACCAGTTTTTTTTTCTTCCTATGAACATGCGTTGTTTTATATATCATCTGAATTAAACCAATTGGCATTGTTCTGCTTACCTTCTTTGTTTTAACCAATGCTGTAATTTCTGAGTTTTCTTCTTTGGTTCTACTGTCCTGTTTAATTTATTATTATCTGCAAATTTCACCAATTTGCTGTTAATTTGATTCCAGTAATGGTCTCTATGCTGATCCCTAATGGCCTACTCAATGTTCCATTCCCACTTCTGGCCTGACTCCTCTAACAAGTAACTGTTGTATTCTACCATGAAACCAATCTCCTCTAAACCACTTGCTCCTGACCTTAAATTATGCCCTCTAGTCTTTGACTTGTCTGCTGTGTGGAAAAGACTCTCATAATCTACTTTGTCTATGCATCTCATAATTTTGCAAACATCAATTAGCTCCTCCCTCAGCTCCTCCCTTGCACTAAGGAAAACAAGCCCAGCCCATCCAGTCTCTCCTCATAACTGAGACTTTTCATCCCAGGCAACACCCTTGTGAATCTCCTTAGCACCCTCTCCAATGCATCCTTCTGATAGTATGGCAATCGGAACTACTCGAGGTATTCCATATTTTGTGAAATTGTATCAAGACTTCCTCGCTCCTATACTCTACACCCTGGCTAATGAAGGCAAATGCCCCATAAGCCTTCTTCACCACTCTGTCCACCTGTGCTGACACCTTTGGTATCCCAGTTTCCTTGGTTCCTCAGTACTCCCTAGGCATCTACCATTCATTGTATATATCTTCCCTTATTAGACCTCTCAAAATACATCACCTCACACTTAGCAGGATTAAATTCCATCTGGCATTGCTCTGCCCAATTTCAGCTGATCAATATCAGACTGTAGCCTGAGACTGTCCTCCTCACTATCAACAACTCCTCAATTTTCATATCATCTGCAAACTTACTAATGAAACTTTCTACATTTACATTCAAGTCGTTAAGATACCAAACCAACAGCAAGTGTCTCAATTTCGATCCCTGTGGTACACTGCTGTGTACACCAACCCTTCACCAACACCCTTTGCTTCCTAGTAGTAAGTCAAATTTGGATCCAGCTTTCCAACTTGCCTTAGATTCCATGGTCTCTTATTTTTTGGACCACCCTTCCATGTGGGACCTTGTGAAAGGCTTTGGTGAAGTCCACGTCAACCACATCAACCGCAAAACCTTTATCAATATATTGAGTCACATTTTCAAAAAATTCTATTAAATTAGTTGGATAGGATCTCTCACTAAAATATCTATGCTGACTATCCCTGATCAATCACTGTCTTTCCAAGTTTTGATTAATCCTGTCCTTCAGAATTTGTTCCAATAATCTCCTTATCATTGACATCAGACTAACTGGTCTGTAATTACTTGGCCTATCCCTGCTGCCTCCTTGAACAAAGGAACCACGTTAGCTGCCCTCCAGTCATTGGGCATTTAGCCTGTGGCCAGCAAAGCGTTAAACTTATCCACCAGGGCCCCAGAAATCTCCTCTTAGCCTCCCATAGCAGTCTGGGATAAATCTCATCAGACAGTGGGGATTTAATGCACCTGTAAGCATGCTAAAACACTGACTATCTCTTCCTTATTTATCTGAATGTGTTCCAGAGCCTCACCAATGTCCCCGGCTACAAAGTCTTTTTTTCTCTGTGAATAAAAATGAGAAATATTCATTTAAAACCTCAATCACTTCCATTGGCACCATGCACTTGTTGCCCTTTCAGTCTCTCAAACGTTCCACTCTTTCGTTAGTAGTTCTCTCGGTCCTAATGTACTTATAAAAAGCCTTGAGGTTTTCCTTGATGCCATCAGCCAAAGATTTTCGTGGTCTTGGTCCCTCTTGGTCCTCCTAATTTTCTTTTTAAGCACCTTCCTCTCCTTTCAATTGCATAATATGTGGGAAATTGAAAAGGGCTGTAAATCTGAACGTTGATGTTTATTTAGCTGAGGTGACACTTTCTGAACGTTGCTGAAATTAGCTATCACTACCTTACTTGAACATTCTGGTCTTCAGATGTAACATGCCAATGGCAAAATGCAACTTAATGTGTTTGAAATGAGATTTGCTCTCAAAACAAATTGTATCCATTTTCAGAGATAGTAGGAACTGCAGATGCTGGAGAATCTGAGATAACAAGGTGAAAATTTTCTGAAGAAGGGTCTAGGCCCGAAACATCAGCCTTCCTGCTCCTCTGTTGCTGCTTGGCCTGCTGTGTTCATCCAGCTCTACACCTTGTTATCTCTGTATCCATTTTCAGTGTTGACACAACTTTTTATTTAAAAGCATATTGATGCCAATACGTCTTATATTTTTAAAAAATCATATAAGCAGCTACTCTTGAATAATACTATTGTATAACCTCAAAGTGCTACAATCAATTTGGGTCTTCTTTAACTGGGAAAATATCATATATTGCATTATAATTCAAAATTCTCCAACTATATGCAACACCTGTTTGGAAGGACTAAACATAAAAGTAGTTTTGGTGTTTTTACAGTTCAACAGATTAGAATACAAGAATTTTAGACCTCCATCATTAAGCTTCACTAAAATTTTCATTTTAACTACCCTTGTTACAGACACGGGACCGTTTTGAGGGTACACGATCTGAAGTTGAATCATTAATGAAGAAAATGAAGGCGAACCCTCAAGAACATCAGAGCATTAGCCCATACACAATGGAGGGTTACCTCTTTGTGCAGAAAAAAAGTGAGCATAAATGTATATTTTAGTATGTAGATGTAACCAATAGTTTAAATTTTTGTCTGATATTGAGCAGGTTTACTTTAATTACTTAAATAAAGAAACAATCCTTTTCTAGGTCCTTTTGGATCCAGTTGGGTGAAGCACTACTGCACGTATCAGAAAGAAGCCAAGAAGTTTACAATGGTGCCATTTGACCAAAAAACTGGAGGAAAAATAGTATGTTTTACTTTTGCTTGACTGCAAAATTGACTAAAAATTCCACTATAGATGAAAGGTGAAGCTGTGCTCTGACAGAATGGTCTTCAAGTGATAGGACATTAGATGTATTTGTATTTCAACAACAGAATTAAAGGACTTCTCCTTCTGAGTAATTTTAGTACCAAGTAAATTGCAGGTGCTGATGTTAAAGAACTATACACCTTTAGGGGGAAGCTGTCATTTTGTAGTAATATCATAGGGCTAGTAATTTGGAGGCTAATCATCTGAGGATATTTGTTCAAATCTCATGATGGTAGATGGTGAAATTTGAATTCAACAAAAAACACTGGGATAAAACTAATCTGATGATGACCGTACAACCAACTTCTGATTGTTGTAAAAATGCACCTGTTCACTAATACCATCTTTAACTTGTCAGTAACTCCATACTGACACCAGTGTGGTTGACTTTTAGCTGCCCTCTAGTTTGCTACCGCCTTATCCCAGAAACTAGTAATAAAATAATGAGTGCTTGTTTTGTCTACGTAGTTCCAAGCTTTTCATCGAGAACCACTTTTTCTTAGAACAAACTCCGATGTCCAGAGATTCATGAAAACAGACAGCAAAGACAGCAGCTGTGCAGGTTACTGTTGGGTCAGACAGTAATGTAGGCCTCTTTCTCCGTTTGAATCACTGCCCATGTGGTCACTGCCCTTTGTCTCTCTCCTTCCTTTTTAAAGTGCCGTTGTATTGATCTTTTTTTTTTCGTCAAAAGTTCCAAAACAATGCAACAGCTAATGAAACGGTAATTACTACTCCTAGAATTGAAGGAAATCAGCTCCAACAATGAAAATACCTCAAAAGAGGAGCAGCTCTTACAAACACAACTTTTCCCCACCCTCCATCTTGGATTACTTGGGAGGTCATGTGTGGTTGTACAGGACATTGGTTAGGCCACTATTGGAATACAGTGTGCAGTTCTGGTCTCCCTGCTCAAGGAGGGAAGTTGTGAAACTTGAAAGGGTTCAGAGAAGATTTACAAGGATGTTGCCAGGGTTGGAAGGTTTCAGCTATAGGAAGAGGCTAAATAGACTGGAGCTATTTTCCCAGGACCGTCAGAGGCTGAGGGGTGACCTTATAGAGGTTTATCAAATCATGAGGGGTATGGATAAGGTAAATAGACAAGGTCTTTTCCGCAGAGTGTGGGAGTCCAAACCGAGAGAGCATAGGTTTAAGGTGAGAGGGGAAAGATTTAAAAGGTGTCTAAGGGGCAACTTTTTTATGCGAAGGGTGGTGCGTGTATGGGATGAGTTGCCAGAGGAAATGGTGGAGGCTGGTTCAATTACAACATTCAAAAGGCACCAGGATGGGTGTATGAATAGAAAGGGTTTGGAGGGATATGGGCCAAATGCTGGCAAATGGGACGAGATTTATTTAGGATATCTGGTCAGCGTGGTTGAATTGGACCAAAGGGTCTGTTTCCATGCTGTATATCTCTATGACCGTATGAACAATGAATTCTGAGCTCCATGTCTTTCAACCTAATCTTCATATTCCTTCTTAAATATTTATCTAATTCCCTTTTAAGTGTTGTAGTCACTGCCTTAATAATTGCTTGCATGGAGTAAGAAACTATTTGCTGTTCTGGTGATATGTCATTTATGCCATTTTAGTAATTTTTGCCAACCTGCAAATAGGTAATGTTTCTGGTCGGCAATCTTTCATCAGATGTATTCTGATAACCATTGTCAATATGAAATTCAACATTGTTCCTCTCTGCAAAAATGCTGTATGACCTGCTGGATATTTTCACAATTTTCTTTGTTTGTTATTGATTTTCAGAATCTGTAGTGTTTTGTTTTTATTCCATTTTTTTAATGTTGCCTTTGCTCTTAACAGCCAGCTATATAGTTTGGTGGTATCAGTACGTACTAAAACAAAAGTCTTGATTTTACAATTAGCAGAGAAGCAATTGCACTCTCACTAGCTTCAGAGTAAACTTCATATAAAGATCTAGTGATTTTCGTGGCATGTTTTTTTCCCTATTCCTAGTGGTTCTTTAAAACTGTTGCCAAGCCATTAGTGGCCAATTAATTCTTCCCAACAGTTTTTCCATTTCTCACTCCAAATTAAAACCACTTAAACCTGTTCTATTTACTCTTGTTTTAAATTAAAATGCAAATATTTAAACTTATTTGCCCTTTAACATTCAATTGAATTTCCTATTGTATGCTTGAACGAGCAACGAGCAACCTGTATTAAGTAATTTTATCAATCCCAGTTTCAGAAACAATCATATCCAGGATTGATGGTTTTAAACAATATCCATATTATTCACTCTATCTCTAGAAAAATGCCTCCTATTTTAACTTCCCCTGTGATGACTGAGACTCAGTTTGTGCTAGGGGCTTGGATAGGGCAGAATTTGTAAGGACCATTCAGGAGGGTTTCTTGTCACAGTATGTAAATAGTCTAAGCAATGGAAGGGTTTATACTGGACCTGGTTTTGGAAAATGACCCCGGCCAGGTGAGTGAAGTTTCAATGGGGGAGCATTTTGGTAGTAGTTACCATAATACCAGTAGTTTTAAGATACTCATGGATAGGGATACCACCACTCCTTGGGTGAAGGTGTTAAATTGGGGTAAGGCGAACAACAACAGTATTAGGCAAGAACTGGAGAATGTTGATTGGAGGCGGCTGCTTGAGGGTAAATCCGCATCAGACATGCGGGAGTATTTCAAATGACAGTTGATAAAAGTTCAGGAGTGGTGTGTTCCTGCAAGAATGATGGATAAGAATGGTAAGTTACGTGAACCTTGGATGACCAGGGATGTTATGAACTTGGTCAAAAAGAAAAAGGAAGCATACAGAAGATTGAGGAGGATGGGAACTGATGAAGCCCTTGAAGTAGATGAGGAAAGTTGGAAAAAACTTAAACAAGACATTAGAACATAGAACATAGAACAGTGCAGCACAGTACAGGCCCTTCGGCCCATGATGTTGCGCCGAACTTTTACCCTAAACTTAACGTCTATCTAACCTCCACCGCTACCTTATACTAATCATCCATATGCCTATCCAATAGCCACTTAAATGCCCCTAATGAGGCCGACTCCACTACCTTCTCCGGCAATGCATTCCACGCCCCTACCACTCTCTGAGTAAAGAACCTACCTCTGACGTCTCTCCGATATCTACCTCCTTTCACTTTAAAACTATGTCCCCTTGTAAAAGCTACCTCCACCCCAGGAAAAAGTCTCTGGCTGTCTACTCTATCTATACCTCTGACCATTTTGTACACCTCTATCAAGTCACCTCTCATCCTTCGTCGTTCTAAAGAGAAAAGCCCTAGCGCTCTCAACCTTTCCTCGTAAGACCTTTCCCTCCATTCCAGGCAACATCCCGGTAAATCTCCCCTGCACCTTTTCTAACGCTTCCACGTCTTTCCTGTAATAGGGTGACCAGAACTGGACACAATACTCCAGATGTGGCCGAACCAGGGTTTTGTATAGCTGGAGCATAACTTCACGGCTCTTGAACTCAATCCCTCTATTAATGAAAGCTAACACACCATATGCCTTCTTAACAATCTATCCACCTGGGTGGCAGCTCTCAGGGAACTGTGAACATGAACCCCAAGATCCCTCTGCTCCTCCACACTGCCAAGAATCTTTCCGTTAACCCTGTATTCTGCCTTCAAGTTTTTCCTTCCAAAATGAATCACCTCACACTTTTCAGGGTTAAACTCCATCTGCCACTTCTCAGCCCAGCTCCGCATTCTATCAATGTCCCTTTGTAATCTAGAATAGCCCTTCACACTGTCCACAACGTGACCCACCTTCGTATCATCCGCGAACTTGCTAATCCACCCTTCCACTCCTTCATCCAAATCATTTACAAAAGTCACAAATAGAAGAGGACCCAGAACAGATCCTTGTGGTACACCACTTGTAACTGAACACCATGTTGAATATTCTCTGTCCGCTACCACCCTTTGTCTTCTAAGGATCAGCCAATCCAATCTGCCACATTTCCC